AGCAACTCATTAGAGCAAAGATAAAGATCAAAATCAACATTAAACCAGAAGAATAAAGTAAGAGATATGGTATGACATTTGAGGCAACACTAACATAAACTATTTAAGTAAGCTGTTGATGTTCAAGAAAAAGAAATGGGTAAAAGAAAAGAGAATAACAGATAATTACCATTTCCTGAGGAAGTCCAACAAGGAGACCAAAAGAACCTAGAAACAAGCAGTTGACACTAGATTCTCCTTGTCAGCTTTGCCACTTACTATTTTGTGATCTTTTCCTACCTTTCCAATCTTCTTATACCTCCTCCTCACCTCCACCTACTCTGTGACCCAGTGACACTGGCCTCCTTTCTATTCCAGGGATAAGACACTCCATCTCCCAACTCTGCATTTTCACTCGCTATCCTTCCTGCCTGGAACTCTCTCCCTCCTTACCCCTACTTCCTAGCTCCCTTCAAGTCTCAGTTGAAGTCTCTTCTTCTGCAAGAAGCCCTTCCCAATCCTCCTTAATCTCAGTGCCTTCCTTCTGCAACTACTCCCAATTTATCCTGTGCAGAGCTATACAGTATAAAGTTGTTTGTGTGCTGTCTCCCCCATTAGACTGTGAGCCATTTGAGAGCAACAACTGTTTTTTTTGGGGGGGTGGGGTGGGAGGATGGTTTGTCTTCCTTTGTGTCCCAAGCACTTAGCACAGTACCTGGCACTTAATGAATGCTAGTTGACTGAATACTTGGGCAAGCTGCTTAAGCTCAGTGGGCCTCATTTTTCTCACATGTAAAATGAGGGGGTTGGACCAGATTACCTCTAAGGTCTCTTCTAGCTCTAAACTTATGATTCTATTCTGTACTGTTCCCCAAAATGGAAAAATACATAAAGGAAGCCTTCTAATATACTGGGTAGATCTTCTATGGCATATCTATAGGGGAATATAAGCACACATACAAAAAATACATAGAATGAGGCGAGAATGAGCTGTTATTTGTAACCATGAAATAAATGTCCCTATCACTGAGTTTGTCTGGGTTCTCATCACACTGCTCCGTCATGGTTCTCTTGCTACCCATAGTGTGTGGATAGGGGTAAAGTATAAGAAGATTCAAAGTACAAAAAGTGTTGAGGTTGTACAGAGCTTTAAATGCCAAAAAAGAAGTTTACACTTGATCCTGGAAGCAACAGAGAGACAATGGAGTTTATTAACTGAGGGTAAGGGGAGGGGTTACATGATCAGATCTGCACTTGAGGAAAATCACTTTGGCAACTACATGGAAAGTGCACTTGAGTGAGAAGAGACTTCAGGTAGAGACCAATTAGGAGGCTATTTCAATAGCTAAGGCCAGAGGTCATCACAGCTTGAGCTAGGTGATATCTGGGTAAGCAGAGAGAAGAAAATGTATACATGGTATGTTATAGAAAAAAAGATAAGATTCAGAACCTGACTGGGAACTCTGAAGTGAGTGAGAGTGAGGAGCTGAGAATGACAGGAAAGTTATGAGCTTGGGGAGTGGGAGGATGTGGTAGCTCTAACATTAGGAAGGAAATTTGGAATATGAGAAGTTCTGGAGAAAAGATAATGAATTTTGTTGTGGCCATGCTGAGTTTGAGATAACTAGGGGCCTTCCAATTGGACAAGTCTAATAGGAAGTTGGTGATGAGGGCCTGGAACTCAGAAGAGAGGACAGAAATAGATATAGATCTGGGAAACATCCGGCACAGAGATGATGACTGAATCCATGCAAGCTGATGAAATCAGCAAAGGAGATAGAAGAGAAGAAAAAAGGGCCCACGACAAAGCCTTTGAGGGATAACCATAATTAATAAGTATGACATTGATAAAATTCCAGCAAAGAAGACTGAGAAGTAACAGCAGGAGAACCAAGAGAAAGCAGGCTCACAAAAACCCAGAGAACGGTCAACAATTTCAAATGCTGCAAAGGCAATAAGGAAGATGAAGACTGAGAAAAGATCACCAGATTGGGCAGTTAGGAGGAGAGAGAGGAATTTTACTTGAATGATGAAGTCAGAAGCCAAATTGTGGAGGGTTTATAAGATGGTAATAGGACAAGAAATGGAGGCACAAAGTGTAGATAGTTTTTTCAACGAAGCTGAGAAGGGAAAGAGAGAGAGGATAATAGCTAGCAGCTATGGTAGGATCTAGTAAGAGTCTCTTTTTAAGGATGGAGGAGACATCCTCCAGATTTGTAGGCAGCAAGAAAGGTGCCAGTAGATAGGAAGAGATCTGATTTAAGATTGGAAAGAGTAAGGATGATAGTGGGGGCTCCCCACTGCTGGTGAAGATGCTTGGGGGGGTGGGACAAAGTTGTATGTAGGAGATGGCTTCTGTTCCAAAGCCCACCTCTCCAAGGACTGTAATGAAGAGATAGTGAGGATGATGGAAGACAAAGGAAGAAAACAACTTGTAGCAAATGACACCAACTTTTTAGGTGAAGTCTAAGGCCAAGGTCCTTAGGTGAGAAGATGGGGAGAGGGGCTGCTACAGGAGGCTTAAGGAGAAACAAGTTTAGAGTGGCTAGTTCAGTGAGTGGGATACAGAATTTACATGTATGTAGAAGTACCCTAGGGCAGAAATTGGGGTAGAGAGGAAGACTGTGAATCAAGAACTGTATTCAAGGAAGGAACAAGATCTGGAGATTGTAAAATAAAAAGCCACAAGGGTCTGGAGTGGGTGATGAATTTGGACAGACTGAACCACAAAGGAAAAGTTGTCAAATGATGATGATAGAAAGTCAGAAAATGGCAATGAAGAATAGGGAATTTTAATTTCTAGACCAGGACCAGATAATCAGTAGCTGAAGGAAGGTATAACCAATTCTGTAAAGGTTAACCAGGGATGCACTGTCATCTATAGAGAGCCAGCTCTTATTGAGCACCAGAAGAGGGAACAAGAGAAGAAAAAAATCTAAAATGAAAGGATATTTATTGATCTTAAAGGGGAAGTTCTAGAAGGCACAGTGGAAAGGGATGAGCAGATCTCAAGCAGGGCATTAAGGGAATCAATAAGGTTGCGGTGGATGGGAATGAAAGAGTGGACACCTGGATTTGGAGAAGGAGGTGTGTTCTTTAATTCAGTATTACTGGGATGGGGAGAATAAGCTAATTACTGGTTATGAGTCTAGGAAGAGTGTTAGTAAACAATGAAGGCAGGTGATTAGAAGGTTCAAGGCTGTCTCTCAAGCCCTCATCTGTTCCTAGCACACAGCAGGCACTTAAATACTTGTTAACAGACTGATCTGTGTAAGTATTGAGGTGACCTGAAAGACGCCACACTAGTTGCTGGGGAAACAAACTGAGTTTACAATAAAGAAGATACAATTCATACCCACATAAGCATGATAAAGGTAAAAAAAAAAAAAGGATAGAGAAAAGGAAGGTACAGGGAAAGGGGAAATGGTGATAAGGTACTCTATGAAAAACTGATATGAAGTAATCCCTTTCAGTGGGGATGATGCTGTGGAAAGGGTAAGACATCAGGGAATGAAGGCAGAGATGTGGATGCAGTTTACTCTGCTGTATGAAACAGCTTCTGAAGATAAGAGATTTCAGTATGAGATCAAGCAATGGTCCCTGTAGTACAGTCTGGCTGGAATGCTGAACTTGTGAAGGAGTAATATGAAGTTACACTGGGGCCAGATTGTGAAGGAATTTAAATGCCCAACTAAGAAATTTGTATTTTCTCATATGTATGACAAAAAACAATCAGATTAAGAGAAGGGGATTTTAGACATTTTAAATCTGACATCTGGTGGGGCATTTGGATGAAGATGGGTATCCAGCATATAGCTGGTGATGTAATAGTGGAGTTCAGGGAAGAGACTGGAGCTAGACATATAGATTTGGAAATCATGTACACAGAGGTGAAAAAGGGCTTGGATTGGATCATGAAGACCAACCAAGATTTGGAAATCATGTACACAGAGGTGAAAAAGGGCTTGGACTGGATCATGAGGACCATGATGACCAGTGTATGAAAGGCCAGGATCTTGGGAGACCAAGGAAGGATCATAGTAGAAAGAAGGAAGGAAAGCAGGAAAGAAATTGTGTAACAGGAGCCAAGATATTTTCTTAAAACACACTATAATGAGGTGGTGGTTGACAGTATAAAATTGTGAAGAAATTGCAACGGATGAAGACAAACAAAAGGCTACTGGATTTGAAAATCCAGAGGACACTGGTGACCTCTGCAGGGAAAGTTTCAGTAAAAGCAGTTAAGTTAGCAAACATATTGTGCCAAGGAGAGCGGGTAGTAAGGGAGTAGATGCAGGGCCTGTTTCTGGAAGTTTGGCAGGAATACAGAAAAAAAGGCACAAGGCTAGTGTAATGGAAAAGGAAGAGAGAAGAAGAGAGGAAAAGACTGAAAACGAGGAAAGGAAGAGATGATGGTGGATCTGAAGACAGAAACCACAGGCAAGAACTGCCTCACTTTCATAGATTGGAACCACGATGGAATAGACTGGAAAACCTACTGCATCATGGGACTCATAAACCACTGCAATCCAACATTGGTGTGGTGTAGATGTGGGCCTCCATGGAGCCACTGCAGGTTATGAGCATTTAGTGAGTTTTGGGGGGGGGGTACGAAGGTGAGGTACAAGACGCTCAGGGAGAGCCAACTTATCTGCTAAAGGACCGAGGACGAAGGTTTGGATGAACCGCTATGCGGAGTCGACCCCAGCTGCCCACTCCAGCATCCCTGACGGATGGCCCTTCCCAGGACCAGGAGAGCTCGGGCGCCTTCCTGGGCAGCTCCCCTCCCTGCAGGGCAGGGATGACAGCTGGGAAGCTCAGCAGCGCCCAGGGGGCGCGGCGCGGCCCCTTCTTGCCCTGAGGCCTGAAGCGCCTTAGCTCCAACGCCCGCGGAGGAGGCTGGGCTCGCCTCGCCCGTCTCCTTCAGGCCCCCCAGGCTCCTATCCCAGTCCTGGGCTGAGACGGAGGGAAGCCCTGTCTGGGGTGGACGCTCCCGAGGGCCGCCTGGCTTTCCTCCCTACCTGAAGCTTCCTTCACGTCAGCTCGGTCGCCACGTTCTTCCTCCCGCGCAGGCTACCTCTTCCGGGTCACGACAGCCGGTTCCGGGGACTGGTGGATAAATCATCCCCGCCGTCGCTTCCCTGGTGTGCTGAGTTTCCAGAGCTGCCCTAAGGTCTCGCGAGAAGCATTACACAGGTGGTTGGGAGGAGTCAGAGAAAGCGGGGTGGGGCGAGCCAGAGGTGAGGGAGGGCTGATCTTGTTGGCTTCTTTAGAATAAAGTATAAACTCTTCTTTTTGGCGTTTACATCTTTTCACTGCTTGGCCCTAGCCTATCTTTGCAGCCTCATTATACACGGCACCCCGACCCTGTCTCCACGCCTTTGCACCAGCCGTCCCTCTTGCCTGGAATGCCCTCCTTCACTTTTCCTTCTCAGAATTCCCAGCCTGCTTCGAGACGCAGCTCGGGCACTACCTTCTAACCAGCATCAACCGTCAACAAGCATTTAACCTACGCGGCACCAGTTAATAAGCAATTGATAAACATTAAGCGCCCTATGATATGCCAGGCACGGTGCTAAGCACTGCGTGCAAATACCACGAATCCCTACTAGCTACTAGAGTTTACGTTCTTAAAGGAGAGACAACAGGATTAGGTTGTAAACTCTGAGCGCAGAGATTATTTTTGCCTCACTTTGTATCCACAGCCTGCTAAGCACGGCGCCTGGCACATAATAGGTACTTTTTGAGTTGTTTTCAGTCTTTACCGACTCTGGGATCCCTTTTTTGGGTTTTCTTGGCAAAGATACTAGAGTGTTTTGCCATTTCTTTCTGCAGTTCATTTTGCAGATGAGGAAACTGAGGCAAACAGGATTAAGTGACTTGCCCAGAGTCACAGCTAGGCAGTGTTTTTGGCAGGATCTGAACTCAAGAAGTTGTGTCTTTCTTTCTCCGGGCCAGGCACTCTACCATAACAGGTGCGTAATAAACGCTAATTAACTTGGCTCAATATCTGGACATATAAGTGACTCAGTAGATAAAGCACTGAACCTGGAGTCAGAAGACCTAAGTTCAAGTCATTCCTCTGATACTACTATGTGACAGGCAACACAACTTAACCTTCATCGGTGTACTTCCTCATCTGAAGAAACGGATAATAATGAGTCTCCTTCAAAGAGTTGTGAGGATCCACTTAGATAATGTATGTAAAGCCCTTTGCCAACCTTAAAAGTGCTATAAAATATAAGCTTATTATTAGAGAATAAATATAAAAATAAAAAGTAAACAAAGCAATTTGAGAGGGAGTTTGCTAGTTGATAAGGGGAAATACATTTACTTAAACATTTATTTTGTATTTATCCTGTATATACTCATATATGATTATACATTGATTGAAGAAGAGACTGAAAGGGAGAAGGGGCTGATAAAAAGGCTGTAACAGGGAGGGTAGGGGAGACGGCAGGAGGAAAGGCCAGGGAGGAATGATGGGGAAAATCAGGAAGGCATATTAGAAGAAGGGAAGGGGAAAAGTGAAAAGAAAATAGAGGAGGGAGAGAGAAGCTAGCTTTCAAAAGAGAAGGGAAGAGAGGAGGAGGAAGGGGGAGTGGGAAGTGAAAATGGATGGGAAGGAGAGGAGGAGAGAGGGAAAACGGGGTGAGAAAGAGAAGGGGAGAAAGAAGAGGAATGGACAAAGAGAAGGGAAAGAGGGAAAAGAGAAGAGGGGTCGGAAAAGAGAAGGGAATGAGGTAAGAGAGAAAGGGAGTGGGAAGAAAAAAAGGGGACAGGGAAAGAAGGAATGAAAAGGAGACAAGGGGAAGATGGAAGAGAAGAGGAATAGGAAGAGAGAAGGGGAGAAGAGGAAAAAGAAGGAAGAGGGAAGAGAGGAGGGGAAAAGCAGGAGGAAAGGAAGAATAAAAGCTAAAATGAAGAGGGGGGAAGTGAGAGAAAGGGAAATGAGGGAGAGGTGACTGGAGAAGTGAGAGAAGAGTGTGAAAGGAAAGGGGAGGGGGCGAGAGGAAGGAGAGGGAAAGGGGGTGAAGGAAATGACTGGATGGGGAGGGAGGACAGGAGATGGGACGTTGGGGGAGCAAGGAGTAGAGAGGGAAGAGACGGTGGAAGGAGCAGATGATGGAGGTGAGGGAGAGGGAGGGCGTAGAAATGCGTCATCTCGGGGAAGAGTAGAGCGGAAAAGAAGAGGAGAAAGGAAGAGAAGTGGGCAGGGAGAGATGTGAAGGCAGGAGACGGAGCAGCGAGCACAATGACGTATGCCTCTCCTGGGGCGAGGGGAGGAGCTGAGGACGGAGGAAGGCAGGGAAGTGGACCGGAAATGAGGCGGGAAGTTCCGGTTGGCCCGAGCCCATCTGCGGGTGTGAGAATCGCTCAGGATCCTCTCGCGGAGCCGGATCCGGAGCCGGAGCCGGGGCTGCCGCTGGGTACGTAAATCTGGGAGGGAGCGAGGGAGCGAGCGCCGGGGCCCGGGAGCCAGCGGCCGCCCTCCCGGGAGCTCCCTCGGGCTGCAGGTGCCGGGACTCCCGGTGTCTCCCTGCTGCTCAGCCGCCGCCGCGGGGCCCCCAGGCCGGCCGAGCGGAGCGGCTCCCGGGGCGGTGGGGAGAGAGGGAGCGACGTCGCTGGGCGCCCGGGACGCAGCCCCGGTTGCCGCCCCCCGCCCAGAGCAGGGAAGGCGCCGGCCGGCCTGGGCCCCAAGTAGCAGCCGGCTCAGCTTTCCGAAATCGCTCCGTGCTCGGTGTCTGGGGCTCCTGTTTCAGCGCCGGGCCGGCGGGCAGTTGCCAGCTCCCCCGCGCTCATCGTGGCCTTGGCTGCTTCGGGTTCAGCGGCCAAGAGTCCCTGCAGAGTCCCGGCTTCATCCTCCCTCCCCGATCCACCCTGTCCGTCTGTCTCCTCTCTCTCCTCACCCGTCTCCCGTCTCCCGTCTCCCCTCTCCCCTCTTTTCTCTTCTCTCCCTCCCCTCCTGTTTATTTGCCTCTCTGTGTCTGTCATTGTCTCCCCCTCCCCTTTCTCTCCATCTGCCTCTCTTTCCTCTTTCTCATCTCTTCTGTCCTCTCCCTCTTCCTCTCCTTATCTGTCCTCTCAAGCTGAATTTGAGGCAAAAAGGGGTTTGTGGTCCAAAAAAAAATCACCTGTTGGGATACTCTTCTTAGTCCCAAAATCTCAAGAGGCTGGACAGAGGCTGAAGAACCTTTTCTCGTTGCTTGCTGGCTTATGGATGACGTTCCTTTACCCCAAACCGAACTGTACCCAGTTTTTCCTTCTTCCTGAATTCTCACAGACACCTCCCAATCAGTGTCTTTGCCACTTTCTACCCTCTACCCATCTAGGCAACCAAACACTCAGCCGTTTCTAAGAACCTTTCTAGGAAATCCAGTGATTTTGACTTTTCAGATCATAACAGTAAGTTTGAGACAGAATTTACAGTTAAATTACTTACAGGCTGGGAAAGAGAACTTGGATAGACTTTTTTTGTGGTATAATAATACAGTGTGTATTTTGGCCAATCCCTGATGACTTGAGCAACTGAATATGGGTGGAGGTGTATGCTAATTGTTACACCTATATTATTAGCCACAGTTTACATTTCCTAGTCAGGGGAATGTTTTCCTTAAACTTTTGAAACGATGAGGCACCCATTTGGATTGTAAACAATTTGTGTAGATAGTGGACTTTCACCTTGTCTAGAGTTATAAATGGATGTACTTGTTAGCTGATAATTACATATATTTGGATTTTTAGGCCCAATTCCACTAACAAAACAGATTTACATTGCATTACTTTACAGATTACAGTGTTTTGTCATTTTGGGAAAGAGAAGTCGCACATTCATTTTCAGTAACGTAATAATAGAGAGTTGGATCTTTTGGCCACAACCAAATGGCTTTTGCTACTGAATGTAGGAGGAGAGATATGCTAAGTATTCTACCTGCTGTTAGGGACCGATTATATTATTGTACATATTTTGTGTTTCCTAATCAGGGGAATGTTTTCCTTAAATTTTGGAAAGATGAGACACCCAGCTAGATGGTACACTAGACTGTCCCTTGACTAGAGTTAAGTATATGTACTTGTTAGCTGACAATTACCTATATTTGGATTTTTTGTCTTAATTTCATTAACAGAACAGGTTTTCCTTCTTCCGGGAGATTGTGTTATATTTGAATACCTTCATAGAAGTGTGAGGTGCAAAGAAGTAAGATGACATACAGGTAGTAAATAACAGTGCCATAATTTGAACTCAGGCTCTCTTTTTCCAAATCTAGTGCCCTTTCTATCATGCCACACTACTAATAAGTTTCCTTTATTGGTTGTGTGTATTGATTTTTGTTTGTTCAACCAACCCACTTGGGAACTTTTTCTGGGACTTCCCGGTTTCCTGTCATTGAGCTGTAATACTGCTGTTAAAGGACAGCTGGTTGGTGCAGTGGATTCAGCACCAGTGTTGGAGTCTGGAGGATCCAAGTTCAAATGTGGCCCCAGACACTTACAAGCTGTGTGGCCCTGGGCAAGTCACTTAACCCTGTTTACCTCTGTTCTCATCCGTAAAGTGATCTGGAGAAGGAAATGGCAAACCATTCCAGTATCTTTGCCAAGAAAACCCCAAAGAGTCGGACATGACTGAAACCACAAAACAATGAACAACATTACTCTTCAGGATAACCACTAGAGTAGTACTTAATATTAAACCTTTTATGATCGCCATGGGTCCCCAATTGCCCCTCTGTTGCAGGAAAATATTCCCATGCTGTTGAGAAGGACATAAAAATGCTTTTTTGCTGTTAAAGAATGATCCATTTTTCTGTTTAAGCTGTCAACAGAACTAATGCTAACTTGCTGAAAGATTTTGTCATGCCTTATTATGAAGGATGCTGCTGTGGTAGTACCAAATATTGGTACCTTGGCTTATTTAGGGAGATCCTGTGTCTTGTTGACAGTGTGTTCTTTCATTCCATCTGTAAATAAAGCACTTTTCTGAGATGACCTTTGCCTTACTTTGAGCACACATTTTAGTGCCAGCCAATAGAATTTGAACATAATGATGTTTAGAACAAGTCATTTTAGTTTTATACCTACCAAACTGGAAAATGAATGTAGCTTTGCTTCCATTCTTCTATGACTTAAAATGTAATTGCCAATTTGAT